ATGCCCAAGGTAAATTAAGGGGAACAGGCTTTAGATCCCACTGGAGCCTACATGGCTATCCCTAAACACCGCATAGGAGCACTGAAGTCAAGACCCGAGGTCTGCCCGCAACATTGTGTAATAAACGGGTAACAGGAAAAGTGGAAAATGAACGAATTTCTGGCCTTTGAATTAGTATGATTTGTCCAAACTACCTAAAGAAGGAGTTCCACTTAGGATTATTGTTAAATTATTAGTCATTAATTTAAGCAAATCTCCAAGAATGGGAAGTTTTCGATAAGGAATTTTTGGGAATTTGTTCAGCAAATATATGAACAGAGGAAGAAATAAAGAGGGTATTTACTTGTAAGTCTACAAAACTGAACAGAGCTAAACAGGCTCTAGAGTAAACATTACATCAACTTCCGGAGAGTGTAATGAATAAATATTCGAGGAAGTCATGCATAAAGAGTCAATAATGCCATTGAGGAATTTAGAAATATTTTAACTCTAATGGTAAATTGTACGGACAAACACCATGGCTGCAGCCGGCCGGCTTTATTGTCTTATGGCTTGATGAATTTGCTTAAAATATGGTAGCATTCTGTCAAAAGTGAAACAGACGAAAGCGCAACACAGCACAGGTCCATCAGTTTCGCGGGATGATGGGTCGTATGAAACCAAAATACTAATTTCGAGGCATTCCTTATTCGGCTTCTGGTGCGGCCAATTTACAAATCTTCCACATGATCTGAAGCTTACAACAACTTAATTATGCTACGGCAGTTTTAAAAGCCCAGCCTCTCGCTATATCAATCGGTAGATTCTTGCTCAACTCGCGCTAATCTGAAGTATGAGGAGACCAGAGCTGAATACAAGTGACTGGTCTCGACTGCGGTAGCTCTGCCGCGGACAATGGGACTCTCCGAAAGGACGGGTCCCCGGCACGAATCACTCAGAGGCCCTCTTTGACATGATACGCGTTGAAAAATTCATACAAAAGTGTTCATAAAGCAGCACACCTTCCTATGGCCTAAACTACAGCTCACGTGAGCCTAATCTTGAACAAACGATTGTAGCAAGTTCCACCTATTTCGCTCCATTTGCTTCTTCGGTCCCGGCGATTGTTTTCGTATCACCACCCGAACCGTGCGTTTATTTTGGAGACCGGCGGCAGTAGGGGCACGATTAAAAACACCTTCAGGTGTGTAATCCGTGTACGAAATAGTGTGTACTGTTGACTGGGATAGACTGATCAAATTATCACATGCCTGACGGCTCAAGTTGTCACCGCGATTGTGCTGGAGTGGCTAACCGGGTAGACAATTTGGAGACATCGAGACATGGACGCTGATCCCCCTGGACGGGATGGAATGAGGCCAAAGCAGCTCATTTTGTGACGCTGCACTGCAACCGATGTAAATACATGTGCACATGTGGGCATATGTGCGTGTAGATGAGCGGTACACGAAGGCAAAAAGCAGCTTGGCTGCCTGTGGGGCGATGCGCACGAACAGGTAAGGGCGGCATAGTTAATAAGTTAGATCACTCAGCCGATGTGTGCTACATTTTGTAAATAGCGGCAGTAGATAGAATTTGTGTACTCATCACTTATGTTAAGCTATTTGTGTGAGTGTGTACATGTATACGTGTGAATGAGTTATTGGTATAGTTAAGCTATACTTTGAATAAGCAGTCCGGAAGCCAACTCTATCGCTATGTTCGAACTAATATTCAGACATTTTTTTCTTAACATTGTCAAGGATCCTGTGCTCAGCATCGACCAGGATGAGGCGCACAATAAAGTCGTAGCCTCGGAAGGTGTTGAGCTGAGTCCTGCCTTGGGGCTGTTTGACAGAACTGATTTGCTTCCCTCAGCTATGGGACTTTTTGCATGGTTTCTCAAAAGGGTAAAAAATTAGGTTAGAACCACTTGCAAGTTGAAATGCCAGAGGAAAGCCAATAAGGCTAAACCTTTTCTCCAAGCTCTCATAGAGTACAGATTAGGTGATACAAATTGTATATAATTGGAATTCGATAAATCGGAATTGTGACCCTTAGTTTGGTCGCGATAACTTTACGCTGAGTGGTGTTGATTTTATATCGTTTTGCAATTCTGACTGGTACGTACTCTTCACATCTTCTGCATCTGCAATCATTTTTGTCAGTCTGGGATCGTGGGCCAGGTTACTAGTTCAACATAAGTTTGGCGAATGGTACTAGCTTCACTTATTCAATTGAGGAGATGTGGTAAGGTATTAGGGAGAAAAAGGTTTTTAATTAATCGAACGTCCAAAGCCTGAGGAACATTTGAAATTAAGGGAATTGTGGTCAAATCAACTCGCAAATATTCATGCTCGCTAGTTACAAATTCACATAGCAAACAGTGTTGACATGAGACGTGAGAAATAAGAAAATTTTTAGCTACCGCATTCTGCAGTGGATCCTATAAAGCCTAAATGGATCAAGACATAACACTAATTATATAATGAATAGCAATAATAAATAATAGTAATTACTTAGTTAATTATTTAATATGGTACTATAATTATAATATTATAAGTATTGCTATCATTTTTAATATAATGTAGTTATATATATCAGTAAATATATACTTACTAATGAATTAATTAATGGATTATTAATGGCTAATTTTATGGACTGGGATTGTTAATGTTCATTTTCCGAAGTAATTGGTAGCCCAAAAAAATACACGCCAGACAATTCTCCACTATTGATGGGCTAATCGCCCATCTCAGATCGCGAAAGAAGAGGACAGACGGCATCACGTGCCTGACGCGCATGGAGCTCCGCGAGAAGGATTGGTGTCCAAGAGTTGCTGTGCCGTGTCGAAAAATTTGCGAGCTACAGGAGGTAATCCCGATGAGTGTTGTAGCCTTGATTGTAGCCTAAATATCGGACATGGGAAAGGAATAGCATCTC